CGACACTAAGGTTGTATGGCAACACTAAGAAAGTATGACAACACTAAAAAGTATGACGACACAAAGAAAGTAAGACGGCATTAAGGTAGTATAACGACAAAAAGATAGTATGACGACACTAAGAAGGAATGACGGCACTAAGGTAGTATGATGACACTTAGGTAGTATGACAACAAAACGAAAGTGTGATGACATTAAGAAGGCATGACGGCACTAAGGTAGTATGACGACACTAAGGTAGTATGACGACACAAAGGACGTATGACGACACTAAGGTAGTATGAAGGCACTAAGGTTGTATGGCAACACTAAGAAAGTATGACAACACTAAAAAGTATGACGACACAAAGAAAGTAAGACGGCATTAAGGTAGTATAACGACAAAAAGATAGTATGACGACACTAAGAAGGAATGACGGCACTAAGGTAGTATGATGACACTTAGGTAGTATGACAACAAAACGAAAGTGTGATGACATTAAGAAGGCATGACGGCACTAAGGTAGTATGACGACACTAAGGTAGTATGACGACACAAAGGACGTATGACGACACTAAGGTAGTATGAAGGCACTAAGGTAAATGACGACACTGAGGTAATAGGACGACACAAGCAGGTTGACGACACTAATGAATTATGATAGCACAAAGGTAGCACGACAACACTGTTATAGTATGACGACATTAAGGTAGATGACGATATTAGTGTAGATGACGATATTGGGGTATTTGGACGACATAAAAGTAGTATGACGACACTAAAGAAGAATGAATACTAATGTATTATGACGACACTGTGGTAGAAAGACGACACCAAGATAGTACCGATCACGTAACTCAAGCAGTATAACACACAAAGGTAGCGTACCGACACTATGGTTGAATGACGACACGGTGAGAGTATGATGTCCCTTAGATAGTATGACGACGCTAATGTAGAATGACTGTACTGTAGTAGAATAACGGTACTATGATAGTATGACGACAATAAGACAGTAGGACGACACTGTGATAGATTGGCAACACTAAGGTAGTAGGACGACACTATGGTAGATTGGCAACACTAATGTAGTAGGACGACACTGTGATAGATTGGTGACACTAAGATAGTAGGACGACAATATGGTAGATTGGCGACACTAAGGAAGTCGGACGACACTGGTAGATTGACGGCACTAAGGTAGCAGGACGACACTATGGTAGATTGGTGACACTTAAGGTAGTAGGACGACACTATGGTAGATTGGTGACACTAAGGTAGTAGGACGACACTATGGTAGATTGGTGACACTTAAGGTAGTAGGACGACACTATGGTAGATTGGTGACACTTAAGGTAGTAGGACGCCACTGTGGTAGATTGGCGACACTAAGGAAGACGGACGACACTGGTAGATTGACGGCACTAAGGTAGCAGGACGACACTATGGTAGATTGACGGCACTAAGGTAGTAGGACGACACTATGGTAGATTGGTGACACTAAGGTAGTAGGACGACATTATGGTAGATTGGTGACACTAAGGTAGTAGGACGACATTATGGTAGATTGGTGACACTAAGGTAGTAGGACGACATTATGGTAGATCGGTGACACTAAGGTAGTAGGACGACACTATGGTAGATTGGCAACACTAAGGTAGTAGGACGACACTATGGTAGATTGGCGGCACTAAGGTAGCAGGACGACACTATGGTAGATTGGTGACACTTAAGGTAGTAGGACGACACTATGGTAGATTGGTGACACTAAGGTAGTAGGACGACACAATGGTAGATTGGTGACACTAAGGTAGTAGGACGACACAATGGTAGATTGGTGACACTTAAGGTAGTAGGACGACACAATGGTAGATTGGTGACACTTAAGGTAGTAGGACGACACTATGGTAGATTGGTGAAACTAAGGTAGTAGGACGACAATATGGTAGATTGGTGACACTAAGGTAGCAGGACGACACTATGGTAGATTGGTGACACTAAGGTAGTAGGACGACACTATGGTAGATTGGCGACACTAAGGAAGTCGGACGACACTGGTAGATTGACGGCACTAAGGTAGCAGGACGACACTATGGTAGATTGACGGCACTAAGGTAGTAGGACGACACTATGGTAGATTGGTGACACTAAGGTAGTAGGACGACATTATGGTAGATTGGTGACACTAAGGTAGTAGGACGACATTATGGTAGATCGGTGACACTAAGGTAGTAGGACGACACTATGGTAGATTGGCAACACTAAGGTAGTAGGACGACACTATGGTAGATTGGCGGCACTAAGGTAGCAGGACGACACTATGGTAGATTGGTGACACTAAGGTAGTAGGACGACACTATGGTAGATTGGCAACACTAAGGTAGTAGGACGACACTATGGTAGATTGGCGGCACTAAGGTAGCAGGACGACACTATGGTAGATTGGTGACACTTAAGGTAGTAGGACGACACTATGGTAGATTGGTGACACTAAGGTAGTAGGACGACACAATGGTAGATTGGTGACACTAAGGTAGTAGGACGACACAATGGTAGATTGGTGACACTTAAGGTAGTAGGGTGACACTTAAGGTAGTAGGACGACACAATGGTAGATTGGTGACACTTAAGGTAGTAGGACGACACTATGGTAGATTGGTGAAACTAAGGTAGTAGGACGACAATATGGTAGATTGGTGACACTAAGGTAGCAGGACGACACTATGGTAGATTGGTGACACTAAGGTAGTAGGACGACACTATGGTAGATTGACGACACTAAGGTAGTAGGACGACATTATGGTAGATTGACGGCACTAAGGTAACAGGACGACACTATGGTAGATTGGTGACACTTAAGGTAGTAGGACGACACTATGGTAGATTGGTGACACTAAGGTAGTAGGACGACACTATGGTAGATTGGTGACACTTAAGGTAGTAGGACGACACTATGGTAGATTGGTGACACTTAAGGTAGTAGGACGCCACTGTGGTAGATTGGCGACACTAAGGAAGTCGGACGACACTGGTAGATTGACGGCACTAAGGTAGCAGGACGACACTATGGTAGATTGACGGAACTAAGGTAGTAGGACGACACTATGGTAGATTGGTGACACTAAGGTAGTAGGACGACATTATGGTAGATTGGTCACACTAAGGTAGTAGGACGACACTATGGTAGATTGGTGACACTAAGGTAGTAGGACGACACTATGGTAGATTGGCGACACTAAGGAAGTCGGACGACACTGGTAGATTGACGGCACTAAGGTAGCAGGACGACACTATGGTAGATTGGTGACACTTAAGGTAGTAGGACGACACTATGGTAGATTGGTGACACTAAGGTAGTAGGACGACACTATGGTAGATTGGTGACACTAAGGTAGTAGGACGACACGAAAGTATTATGATGACTCTATGATAGTATGACGATTTAGAAGATTTTTAAAGAGTTATGTTTATTTATCCCCACTGGACCTCACCTCTCTGTCCCAAACTAGAGTAGGGGCAGACCAGTTTGGGTCTTTATCAAGTGCAGCTTTGTTTAAGCTGTTCAATGTCACACCACGTACATACTTATTTCGGATATCATGATTGAGTAATGGGAAGTAACTCTGTCGTGCTTGTCTCGATGGACAGTTATTTTCTTTCGCGACTTAACGAAAAAATAATATTTTGTAAAGATTAAACTGAAACAAAACAATTACACACAATCCGTCATTAACGCAGGCTAACTTATTTCGTTATTTCAATGTCAAATTAAATGTATAGGCACGGACTTACCACAGCTTTCTGTCAAACTACAGCGCAAACTACAATATAAGTTACACCATTACGAACATTACCCAAGTCAGAGACATATACAACACATATATGTGATATATACGTCTCTGCCCAAGTAATATATTATATATAAAAATTCCTGTCTTTTATATTATGTTATTAGCGAAATTTGAGGTAATTCAGCATGCTCAATCAGTGAAGTATATCAATATTTATTTGGGTTTTTTTTTGACGTTCCTAGTTATACATCATAAAAATCGTAATAAATAATAATGATAAAATTCATAGTAGTATATTACTACAGGCAACCAATTCTGTAGTAGGTCTATGAATTCTAGCGATGGAAAGTAAGTGAGGGATTCCTCATCCAACCAGCAAACAGTGCAATGCTACTATCGTCTGTGTTACATAAAAATATCCATGGTTCGTGATTCAAGTCATAGATCTGTTGTCTCTCTGAAATTATCTATTATCGTTATTGGCCTTTTCTATCAAATTTCTTCCTTTTTATGAAAGTGGAGTGAGCTATACAAGTTTGTCGACAATTCCACGGCTGTTTCTTTGTGGCTCGGCCGATCATCTGTCGATAACAAACACGCGTATGTCAGGGGGCACCTGCCGTGGCTATCTGCCGCTTGTCAATCAAAACCTGATGTCCCGCGACAGGGGGCGTGGCTAAGCCGAACTTAGTTTCACTTTGAATTGGTTTTGCTGTGTTCATCAAAACCTACTTTGTGTATCAAAGTAAGCAAATCTAATTAAATAATTTCTGATTATAGAGTCGGAATATCAACCTAATATGACTTGATCTTAATTGGATACTTTTTCACAACGCTATTTTTATCACCGTGTTTAGAAACCGACGCTGTGACGTATACAAATGGGCGTGGTTTGTGAACTGTGATTGGAATTTGAATCAGTGAATTAGCGTTTTCACCTGTGGGTACGGGTGTGGGTCGGTGAAGCGATCACGAAATGGTGCAGCTACGTACAGTGTGATTCTGACTATTCACGGTGGATTTGAACGGAAAAGATTTGATTATTTGTCATCTATTACAACTTGTTTATGTGTATAAAAGGGGCAGTGTGTGTATTCTATCAGCAGTTCGCTGTGTGTAACACGTGTGTTTGCATGTAGCATTATATCGACGTATATGTAGTGTTTTTATCCTTGGAATATTTATAATTTCGCAGTGTTTACGTTTTGAGTGAATTCATTGTGTGTGATGGCTACCTCGGGAGGGGATCTTTCCCCAAACGACAGTCCTTTATTCGCCCGGGATGGCCACGATCCGCACTTCCCTCCGAACATGGTAAGTTTATATGTGATTACCATAAGAGGAGCATCAGTTAATTGTTGTAAAAACAACGAAAGTTACATAAAACATGTGTTTATGTTACCGCGACATGCTAAAAGAGGAGTTATTTGGAGTTTTATCTAATTGGACACATTGCTTTATGGGCCTATATGGCCCTGCCTATGAATCCGCGTCACTCATTATGCCCCATCAAGTCAATCCCAATCTTTTTGAATGAATCATATATATAAATCTTTAATGACAGAATGTTTTCGTCAAACTCATTTGTTTCTTTATTTCCTTTTAAGAGTCCACCCCTAACTCAACAGATCAATGCTGGCCATCCTTGTTCAAACTGCAAAGAACACTGCCCAGGTTTTGAGCTGCATTTCTGGAGGTAGGTCTTTGTGATGTTGCCTTCTATAAATCCAGTAGATTTGAATCAGTGCCATGTGTAATTTCCAAGTCTACCTAACTAGTGAGAAAAACAAAGTAATTGTCGTCTTTTTGACTGAGCAGACAAACGACAGTTGTTAGAGAAAAAAATATTTGTATCTTTCTTGAAGGAACAGCATTCTCATTATTCAAGTTGGAGAAGTTTACCAAATCTCAATTCTAGAGTGAACATTTTATATATAACCTGAGTATGATTTTAGAGAAGATGCATGGAAATAAAAGAAAGAAAAATCTATTTATTAAAGACACTTAATATTCAAATAAATGATCATGGACAAATTTAAGTACATTTTCAAGGTATTTAATTTGTCCATGACCTCATTGTCATTTTCTTCAGATTACATAATATCTAAAACTGAACACCTGTATGTTGCAACATGTCACATTTTAGTTTACCTGGAAATGTACACTCAAGATTATGTCCTGTGGCGCAGGTAGCTACTCTGCGGTGTTGGATTGAGAAAGTCAGCGTCGGTCTCAGTTATTGCTTAAGTCTTTTTGATAGAAATGTTTACCTTTCACACCAGCAGAAATTCTATTGGTGAAGTCAATCTGTGTAGTTAAAAACTTGTTTGTAGTTAAATTGTCGAGACTAAAAAAATCCTCAATACTGGTAAATTGAAATGAAAAATTAGCATCATCCTAAAAGCCCGGATATAAATTAAATTACAAGAATTGTAAATTCAGGAAATAAGACAGGACACAGAATAATGTAGTGACTGATAAAAAAAGGCCACTGAAGAGACAAAAATGATGAAATTGATGCCAGCTTTGATAAATCAATGTACTTCTTGCCATTAAATTTTGTTCTTTCATTGAATACTCATTCTTGTCCAGGTGTGTTGGTTTATAGTTTTATACAATCCCAATTTGACACCTAAATGGTAATTAGATTAACTGGGTTTGCATGCCTCAACAGCTATGATGATGATACAGACCATGTTTGATAAAATAACAACAGATTTTATTTCTTTAAAGGGTTTCTTGTTGGAATCCAACAGAACATTAGAAATAAAATTACACAAGTGTTGTTTCTTTTTTTAATCATACTGACTGCATTATCAATTTGCATACATCTGTTTCTGTAATATATTTTGCATAAATTAAGAATGAAGAAAGAAAATATTTCAATAGCAGGTAATGAAAGGTGTAAAACGAAAGAAGTGTTATAGTGTAAAACTAGCTGGATTTATCCGAACTCAGTATGCCATTGTTCTCCGACTCGAGACTGAGATTTGTGCCTTAGTCTGTCTGTAATTACCTATTGTGATTTCTGATTAATCATCTGTATTTGTAGGCCTGGTAATTAAAATGTTGATGGCCTGGGAGCCTGTTTAAGCCAGGTGATCAATGAATATATATTAGAGTATATGTACTTAGTATCAAATGATATCAGAATATATATACACAATCCTGTATTTTGGTGATTGCCTATAGTTAATTACAGGTATGCTGTGTTTATATCTTAGCCAGCACTGTATGGGGTCTCTTTAAAAGGATCCTTTTCTCACCTGTCATGCTGACTCCTGGGAACAGGTTACAATTCTTAATAGACTCATACCTGTGAAATAGGTCATGACCCCATAATGAAATTAATTCTATTACCATAAATGACAATGGCTGTAGGCAATCCTTTATCTAGCACTTACAGGTAAATAAAATCCTTTGTAAAACTTCACAGTGTCAGCTGGTTATTAAAGACCTCTCACAGTGTCTATGGGGACAAATTTAGGAACTTCATTGATTAGAATTGATTTGGATTTCCTTATAAAAGAAAGTGGCCAATAGCTACAGTTTAAAACATTTTGTATTGATTTAGTAAACTAAACGTATTCTGACAGGATCCTGCGGTGAAAAATTATGGAATAGTTTTGAAGATTTTCCAAACTTTCTGACAATAGATATTGATTTAGCTGGTGGTTTATTTGTAAACTGACCAAGTGTAATCTCCAGCAGGAAATAGCATTGTTAGACTTGATAAATTTGGGCAATAATTAGTCTTTTTCATTGCCTCAGTTCAAATAAATGTTTAATTATAAATCTCCAATGATTAGATTTCTCTTTTGTCAACTGAACATCAATGACTTAAAAGATCATGTCCATTTTTGGCAGTGCACATGTGAGCGCCAGTTTACATCATGGCTGATGATGATCTGGACAATAAAAATGCACTAAGTGAAAATCTCTATCATACAATGTACTTTATACAAACAGTGTCTTATCAGTAATGGTTTTGAACACATTCCCGTCACTATTTCCATGGTAGACTCTCATGAACATTCAGCAGGTGTTTTTCAGCAAACATTTGAAAGAAATTAAAGGAAGCAAACATCTTTCTTGGCCTAATTAATTCATCCTGCTGATAATTTTACTACTACAAGTTATAAATTAATTTCATATTTTCTCCCAGCAAGGGCAGGAACTTCAAACAAGACATATGTGATTATCTTTAATTTATCAGGAGTCAAATTAGCAGCAACAGCCTTTCAGGGCTAGAATGTCAACACTCACTGTCTTCTCAGCAGAAGAAAAGGGAAACCAACATGAGCCCAAACAAACTTTTGTCCTGAAAGAAACATTTTCTCACAGGTAGCATTATTCTTTGATGTCAAAAGCTTTTATCTGCAATATGTTGATTTTTTCCTATTGTAAGAGACTCTATTTATTTATTTATTTTTCTAAAAGCTTTGTTGTTTGACTGGTTTATTCAGATAAGGTAAAGCCACAAGTTATTTACCAACAGAAATGATTTGTCCCATAAAACTGTGTGACACTTATCCAACAGGTTCCTGACCAGTCGGGAGAGCCTGGAGTCACGAGAATTTATGTGTCATTAAAAGGGATTAAGGAAAAGCTCCATTTAGTCTAAATTAGGGTCATTCAAATACTGGTCACCTACTGTTAGAGCCTTTATGTAACTGTTACATAACATCCTACCTAAAGGAACCAGGGTGACAGTTGGTCCCAAGGGTGATAATCTAACAGCAGGATATCTTACGACTATATCCCCAAAACTAAGTCTTTATGATACTTAGCATACATTTATTGATTAGAGTAGGTAGTATAGAGACTATTATCAGCAGCGTTTGTGGCGAATGCCATATTCACACAAATTAAAAGATATCTTTTAACAATATTTGTCAATGTACTTTCCTCCTTTTTTACAAGCAATACAAAACATATTGAAATTGTACAACAATCTATTCAAATTAATTTTGAAATTTACACCTTATGAAGATTTCAATTTTTCGATGTATAAGAGTTTCAGCTTCACCCTTTCATTATGTATATATATATATATTATATATGTGGTGTTTTTGTTAAGTGGAGGTATTCCACAGGGCTGCCACCTTTCACAATGCTTTTCTTGAATACTTGAAAATAAAGGATTTATGGTTTCAGATAGGTTGTCAAGTACAATTGCACTTCAGAGTTGTATATAATTTTAACGAATAATCAAATTATGTATGATCATGAATGTGTTTTCAAATTACTATTTAGTTTCATATATTTAGACATTGCAAACAAGAAATTAAGTCAAGTCTTATTTAAACTTTTAAAATGTAAATAGTGATACTGTAATATGACAACATTCCAAAGTGTATTTCATATGAGAAAAAGTATGTCGGCTAATTTTATATATAGTTCATTATAAATTTGAAGGTTGTTGGAAATGTGTCACAGTGTATATTACAATGTGAATTGTAAAGCCTGGCAGCTTTTGTCGCATTGACTCTCGTGTCATGTAAGAAAAAAACTTTAGAATGAAGTTGTTTACCTGGCATCACTTTCATGATTTTGAAGGGCTTGTGGCCTTGTAAGGATTTAAATGAAGGTTTAATGTGTCATTCTGTTACTGATATAGTGACTGAGGCTAAAATGTAATGACATCATGTTTAAAATGTTGAGGTGAAATTACAGACCATACAACAACTTCTCCGTTATATATGTCTGTAACATTTTAGCCAGAAAATCATTTTGATTTTTAGAAAATATATCTTCAAGGTATTAAGTGTAATCAAATGGTGATATTGGACCAGAAAAGAAGTAGGGAGGGATACTGTTTGTTTATCAACAATACTATACCAATAAGTTATGTAAAAAGCTGTTTCATTATAAAAAGTGAGATGTCAGAGTGATTGAACAGTTTAGACAGAACATTAATATCCTGGTCATTAGTTTGTGAATTGTGATTAATCTGACCACCTGGAACCATGTCTACCTTAGGGTCAAGTCTACCACTGACCATAATACCTTGGTTATTGATTTATCAGGAACTGGTCTTGGGAAACTGTCTCAAGGGTAAATACCTGTGTCCAAATTCTTTATTATCATTAAGGTCTTGGAGTTTCCTGTGTTACTGACAGTTCCTTAACTGTTTATATAAAGGGGTGGTTTTATTTTCCTGGTGTGTAAATATTTATATGGTGCCTTGTACCACTGGAGTTGTGGGTGGTGCTTACTGATCTATAGAGTATACTACGTAAACATTGATGTCATATTTATTTCTCAACTTTTTTAAATGGCACAAACAAAATTTCTTCCAGATTTATTCAAATTAATGATATACGTTAATTAAGTTAAATGAAATCTAAGATAAACTTCGTAGATTTCAACAAGTTTTGTGAAAATGATTTCTATTGGAGCTTTAAAAAAGACATAAAAGATGTTTTTTCACCAGCAGACATCAGATGTACACCTTAATGTTGAGGTCAAAACAGAAATCATTCAATTAAAACAAAATTGGAGGGATTCAAGCAAGGATGGAAAAATGATAGGTTATCTCCCCTTGATATATTCCGTATTATATACTGATAAATGCAATTGGAAACCGACATTTGCTAGACCTAAATACATGTACAGGCCTTATATATATATGTATTTACAATCATATACACAGACATGATTCATGAGGGAGTCGCCAGAGCAACGGGAATGTAA